CCTAGGTTGCTAAGGACTCAGGCATGTGAAGCTCTAGGCTGTACCAGAGTGCTTCCAAGCGGAAAGTACAAGTACTTTTCTGAAGTAAGGATGAGGTGAGACCCCAGAGGCCATATGTCCTTCCTCCCACAGAAGCAGGAAGACCTACAGACTTTCTTCTACTGGAAGCAGCTTCTCAGTCAACCTAGACAGGCTCCAAGGCAGAATGCTTGGCTATGTGGTTGAGTATTTGGCCTGGGTTAGATTTTATTTAGATCAAATTGATTTGCACAGTCAGGAAGACTTCTCCATTTAATTATAGATTTTTCCTACACTGCAATCAACTCAACAGGGCTTGTTGTCTGAAGTAAACACTATCCTTATTGTTTAAAATAACCTTAGATATATGATATCCATCTCTTAGCTGAATTAAGAAGAGAAAGCAATGCTCTGTCCCCCATTGTGTTTGGGGGAAGCAGCAAAAAACGCTTACAGAGGAGTCCTTCAAGCCACATGAGGAAAGCACTCCCTCCTGGTAGAAGGGTGAACGGCACCACCCTCACAGGCCAGTTGAGGAGCAGCAGCATCTGAGGAGCGTTCAAACTGTGCTCTACACTTTATATGTTACTGTTTCCAACTCATTGTTACATTAACCACGTGAAATGAACTTTTTTTTTTTTCCTGCCAGAATATTTTGAGCTGCTGGTGAGGGAGAAAAGCTGTTGTCTAAATGGAAACAATAGGAATTTATCTCGGGATCCAGAGTCTGTTAGTGAGCAGCTGGGCAGCGTCCTCAACGAGCTGCACTCTTTTATTCTTCCCGCTCTGCTAGCCTTGCATGCTGATGTGCTCTCTCGGGCCAGCTCCCCTCACTGTGTGGAGATGCTGCCTACAAGTCCAAATTAGGAGCAGTTCGGAGCCCACAGGCACAGCTGAGGGGCCAGGTTCTTCTCATGAAGCTCATGTGCTCCCTTGTGTCAGTTTCTCGCTCAGTCTACCAGAGTCCTAGAGCTCATCATGTAGTCCAGGCTAGCCACAAACTTGTGACAATCCTCTTGTCCCAGGCTGCTAACTGCTGAGATTATAGGCATGACTACACGTATACCTGTCACTCATGCACCCCTTTTTAAAGTTGAAAAGCAGCCTGTGGGTCACCTGTACACTAGGGAGATATCGGAAGGAATTTCTTAAGTATGAGGCCAGCCTGGGCTACATAGTGAAGTCAAGGCCATCAGAAGCTACAAGGAAAAAAAAATCCCGCCTCAACAAAATAAGGCTATGCCTCAATCACAGAGAACTTACCTGTATGTCCAAGACCTCAGATGTGCTCCATAGCACTGCAAAAGAAAGAAAAAGAAAGGGAAAAAAAAGTCATCTCCAGCTGTATTCCCCTCCTGAGTCACACTTGACCAAGCAGAAGGAACCGCTGTGATTGTCTAATTTGGGAGCTTCCTTCCAGAGGCCTTGGAGCAGCCCAGCCTCTGTGAAAAACAGGGTCACCAGGACCCAGAAGAAAGATTCACTACTACTAACAAAAAACAAAGGGGTTAGTGGCCCCCAGGTAGGCTGTGAATATATTTTGCTACTATTAGTCCCATTTTGCAAGTGAGGGTACCAAGACTTGAAGATCAAATAGCTCCCCCAAACCACACAGCCTGACCTGAGTTGTTTTCCTACATTTCACTTTGAGAGCAACACACACACACACACACACACACACACAGACACACAGACACACACACGTATCCACACATATGCATGTCCACACACACATGCACCCACACATATACACACACGCTCAGCACTCACCACTTACACACATGTCAAAACTTGTTTTTGCTGGTGATGGTGATCTAGATAGGATGGAGAAAGAAGTCCAAGCAGAGGAAAAATAGAACTCTGAGGTAAGACAGGTAAGAATAACCCTCTGAAGAGAATAGTCCTGAGGGAAATACAGCAAGTCCTGTAAAGGCAATAGGAAAAGTACTCACTTTAGACAGTCAACCCTACATTTCTGCATATGTGTATATAATTAAGTTGGTTCTCTGTGACTGATCATGCACATCAATTTGATCTAAATAAAAGCCAGCCTGGGCTGAGTATCGAGCTCGGCGGCCAAGGATTTGTCTGTCCAACTTCCATGAAAAGGCTGTTTTCTCCCGAGGGGTACGCTTGGTTGGTTACAGCACCTGTAAGTGAGACCTGACCAATCTCGGACATGTCTGATTACAAGTTTCTCAGACAATAGGTCTCCACTCTTTGGCAAGTGTGTGTGGTTCCAGCAGTGCCAAGGCTTGTCTGTGTCGCTGCTTTCTACTCAGGTGTTGCATTTCTGAGGCCATGTGTGTGCCACAGCGATAGGGAAGAGGAGAGATTTCAGTGTTGTGACGGCCTGTCGTGGAGACATGCGTCTGTGTATTCCCATCCTGGCAGACAGGTGGTGGTGGGAGTGATCTCTCTGCAGTGGATGATGGAGTGCTTCCTACTCGTCTATTTGCATTTTTAAACGGGAAAGTACAGTTAATGTCTAGTACAGTTACTGTCTAATGCCAACAGAGCCCTTCTTAAACAGAAGACATTTGTCTGATCTGTGTCGAGCCATATAAGAAAAAAAAAATGACATGGGAACAAAAAAAATTTTTTTCACTGTCGTTTTTGAGGGTTTCCATGGAGTGAACTGATCTCTTGTCTTTTTTTTTCCTTTAAGACTTCATGAATGAATTTATGGAACCCTGATATCCATGAGTATTATTAAACTACTTCACTAATAGTTTTATCATTATTTTTTCTCCTTTAAGCAAAAAAAAAATGTTGATATTAAACAGCTTTAAGATTCTTTTTTTCAATAAAAAATGTAAGGCAAGGTGAGAATTTCTAGGCCAAAATATATTGGTCCAGTCTTTTATTCTGTCTTGAAATGATCCAAAAATACAGCAGTGTGGGAAAGTTAGAGTGTAAGGGTTAGTATTTAGGAGTTAGGTAGTTAACGGAGATCAGTGTGGAGGTGTCACTTGTGGAAGTTGCTTGGACATTCTGTGTCCTGGCTTCCTCATCACGGCTACAGAGTGTTCATTTGTCATGAGCCTGAACTACAGTGGTTATCGCGGAAGTGCGGTTATACCTGTAACTTACACTGCTACAAACCTGAAGGAGAGTGCCTTTTAGTTTAACCAGGGTCTTCTTGCCACTCTCTAGTAGAAGGACTCGTACCCATCCAGTCAGAGTTCACCACTGGAGACTGGAGTCAACTGGGGAAGCCCATTTCCCTGGCACAGAGCACGGTCAATGCTCGGACTTAGTGAAGTGTTAATCTCAGATTTGAACTGTTTACCTGGGAGTCCACGGGCTTATCCGTAATCACGTCCAGGTTTCCTGCCAATTCATAACAGACTCACCAGACCCAAACCTGCTTTTTGGTAGGTGTGGCCAGGTGCCTGGCATTGGCCCGAGATAGGTGAGCGGTGTGGAACGCGTCATCAGTCGAAAGATGCTATAAGAACAATACACAAACGTGTCTCCTGGCCACTGGCGGTAGTGGAAGGGGCGGCAGTGGCTTTGATTTGAAAGTGAGGACAACACGAGGGAGCTCCCCGCGCTGACCAGTAATGACCGCGGAGCATGAGAGGAAACAGGCTTTGCCGGGTCAACAGTGGCTGTGGTCAGTCCAGTCTCGCCCACGCTGCCTGATAGTCACTTTGGTTTTCCCTTTAAACTGTGGGGGCGGCTGTTGGCCTTAGTACATAAAACATTTACATAATTCTGAAGATGGTGCTTTTAAATGCACGTTTTGAGGCATTGGTGTGTATGAATGGTACGGGGGGGGGTGGAGATAATTAAGTTTACATAAGTAATTTGCATTTTAATTTCTTTTTGCAGTAAGGCTTATTTTCACTTCACACAGAGGAAACCCCTATATTAAAATGCCCAGCATATATTTCTTTGAGGGAGTCGATAGTAGTACCCAAGTCCTGCCTGTGGCGTGCAGCAGGTGAGGAGAGGTCCACCCTCAGGGGTGCCTTGTGAGTGTTCAAAGAGAAGGGAGCAGCCAGGCCGGCCCATGGGCCTCTGTCTGGAACGAGTCTCCTTAAGCCCTGTTGTTGTGTTCCAGCTATGTTCATACACGGCCTTCAATGATGTTTATTAAATAAATGGAAGTCATTTTCATTTCTTCCAGTGTCTGGATTCTTTCATGTTTTGAATTTTAAAAATAAATTATTTAACTTGGGACACCCATTTTAAAATACCTTGATATTAAGATTTCTAATTATTCTTCTGTAACAGTTCGTGCTTCCAGATTTAGGTTATTTTGTTTGGTATTTCTTATTAAATATTTTATTTCTCCTGCTGTTTCACTAGAGTCTTTAAAACTACTTCATGGAATTACTTAAATTATTTAAATTAGGAAGAGATTATCTCCCATACATAAATTCAAATTAATTTAATTGTAAACCTGAAGTAAATAGATTTATCTTGGAACATTGAGAGAACTGATTCGCTTTTTTCTTTCTATTCCTGATTTCTTCCTCCTTTCTTCCTTCCTTCCTTCCTTCCTTCCTTCCTTCCTTCCTTCCTTCCTTCCTTCCTTCCTTCCTTCCTTCCTCTCTCTCTCTCTCTCTCTCTCTCTCTCTCTTTCTTTCTTTCTTTCTTTCTTTCTTTCTTTCTTTCTTTCTCATCTTGAAGAAGGGCCTGTTTGATTTTATGGATCCCTCCTCATAGCAACAGATATGCTAATAAGAGCCCCCCAAAATGCAAGGAAACTTTAAATGGATTTTATAAACCAGCCAGAAACCTGTGTGTCTGGGGCTTCTGGGGGAACAACCCGTGAGTCATTTTAGCAAACACACTCATAATCTCATAGTGCATGCGGTTGCCATGGTAATTAGGCCTGTGGAGCTGCCTTGCTTATGTTCCTGCAGAGGGAAGACGGGAGAAAAACTGTGAACTCTGAGCTTTGACTATCGGCTTTGGCTTCAGCCTGCCTGCTGTGGGAGAGTTAGGGTTTCCCTTGAACACGCTGGCAAAGTCATTCTGGAGGGAAGTGGAGAGACTCTGGACTCCCCCTCCCCTTGTTGTTACTGAAGACAAACTAGCCGCCATATTAGTCTTGGGGATTGCAGTTCACGGGGGAGAGAAGGACGGATTGGCACTCTCTGGAGAAGAAGAGCACAAATGGTTTCTTTAGCTAATAGATAATTACAGGTAAGTCTCTAAGGTCAACCTGCTGAAATGCTTTGAGTGTCTGTGCACAGGGCCCTAATGATCTCCTAAAAGGTGCCGAATGCCTCTGGCATATCATTATTGCAGAATGTAATGATCAGCCATGTACTATCCAGGTAGACGCTGGTTTTATGTTTATGATCTGATTCATACGGGGACCTGCTATCTTTATTTATGGACTGGATTTGACTCCTTTATATTGGGCAACCATCTGATGATGCAGGCCCATGGTTCTCCAAGGAGACCACCAAGCTTACAGGAGTTCTGCTGAGTCAGTCATTGCACCTAAGCAAACCAAAATCAAAGCACATGCTTGATGGACATCCAAGAGGTCCTGGGGCTCCGTGAGAGGAATGTTGTGGAGGTCACTCCTCTTGGTTCTACTGAAGAACAAGCAGAGTCAGGAGCCAAAGACATGAGGGCACACATAGAATGTGTCAAACTCACCTTCCTAAGGCTGGGCATCCGCTCACATTATTATTATGTATAGGCTGAAATTTTATTCTTTAGAGCATACCTCTCGGAAGCAGGTTTTTACCTGGAGTTAGATTAAGATTTCCTTATTCCAAAGGCTTGAAATAAAGTGAAACGTGTATGATTGGTTCTCTCTACAACACTGTTGGTTCTAAACTCCATATTTATTTTTATTCTCATAAGTAGAGATAATTATTACCCCAACTTTATTTTAGATTTGATCGTCTTAACGTTAGTAAATAAAGTTTAACTTGAGCCCCTAAGATAGCTTGAGGGGTGAAAGCACCTGCTGCCAAACCTGACGGCCTGGATTGGACCCCGAGCTGGTTAGAGGATCCGCTCCTACAAGCTGTCCTCTGGCTTTCCAGCATGTACCAAGGTGTGCGTGTCCATATTCACACATGTGCACACACACTGGGAAAACATGCAAAGTAAATACATTTTAAAAACATAATAATATATTTTACTGATCATCAAAGTAATTCATGGAGAGCATTAAAAATTTGGAAGTAATAACATTACAAATTATGAATAACGAAAGTAAGAACAGCCCCGTTTAAGTTTGTGGTTAGTTGAACTAATTGCATGTGGCGGGGACCTGATTTTACAGTGGCTGGAGGAAGTTAGGAAGTATTTATTTCTTTTTAACACAACAACCCAGAGGTAAATGACCAATAGCAGTACTCAAGACCACACAGGGGACCCAGCTCTTCTGCCAGGTTGCTCCACGATTCTCTTGTTCTTGAGGTCTTAGATGACTTGTTACAAGAACCCGGAAGAAAGGGAGAAGGAGAAAGCATGGACCCACAGCTACATATGGCACCTTTACAGTTCTCCCATCGAACTCTGTCACATGGCTGCACACTTCCAGCAAGGGAGGCTGGGAAAATTAGCCCCTCTTAACATGTATGGGCATGTAGTTCTTTCTCAAAATATCTTCTTCTTGTGTACTCACCTTCTTGAGGTGATATGAGATAATAAAATACCTGCAGGATAAAATAAAGTACATTAAATAATAAAGATGTTGTCACATAGCATTAGGCCACTGTTTAAAGAATGATTGACTTTGAGACGAGATGTCTAATAAGTGACTCTAGTTAATGATGAAGAGGCAGGCAGCATATACAGTGTAGATACGTTGGGCAAAGGGATGATTAGTGCCCTGGGCAGGACCGAGGGAAGCCGAGTGGCATAATTTAAAACTTATGAATTATTCACTCCTAGAATTTTCCATTTTCCATGTATGGACATTTTCAGACTGCAAGTAACTAAAACCCAGAAGAGCACATTTCAAATGGGACTGCGGGATGCACCTAGTTGTATGTTATGGAACTAGCTGGCATTACACTGTAGATAGTGTTTTTGCTTTGGTGTCTCTGCGCCATATCAGATGCAGTTTTCCTCATCATTTAAATTTCTTGTATCTGGGCTGGGGATGAAGTACACGGGTAGAGAGCTTGCCTAAAATGCAGTCACCACCCTCCCCAAGCAAAAAAAAAAAAAAAAAATCTTGTCTTTATTGTTGATTCACCATGCAGAGTTCCCGTTGCCTAGGAAGTTGTATTATTGGTAATTGGGGTTATTTCTAACACCTTGGTAATCATTTTTGTCTGCAGCTGTTGTTTGAATCAAGGAGCGGACTCACTAGCATGATGACTGTGAACGTCTAAGTCCCTTGATAAATAGTAGCAAGCTGCTTTCCAGAGACGTGTGCCAGTTTACGCCATCGGCACTAATATATGAGCCCGCTCCTCAGAGCACCCTTGTGCAGGCTTATTTTCTGAGTCCCACTTAGTCATTATTATCCCCAGGGTTCAATCTCTGAAAATAGGTTGTTTTTTGCCCTTGGCTTGTTTTCTTTTCCTTTGCTGTCATTAATCACAAGATAATGATTTTCTTTTTTAATAACTTTGGCTCATTTAAAAACCTGTGACCTCTTCCGGCCCTCCGAGAACACAGCTGATTGGACTGAGACATACGTGCCGGTCTCACACGGCGTGAGATCTCTGGAGACACCGATCCCATTTAGTTAGTCCTAAGACCCCCTTTGAATTTGACTCCCACCCTTCGCCATGCTCCTCTTGGTGTAAGATACCTTTTTATTCTGAGTCAGAGATGAAGTAGGAATGGGAAGGTGCTCCCTGAGGCTTCGGGGTGAGTGCTCCTTCTGTGGGAAGCACAGACACTAGGCATAGTTAGGCTGACTCAGTTGGAATTCACAGGGGCATCAGCGAAGAGTGCAGGTGCCTTTAGACCTCAAAACAACCTAGGAAAGACTACATGCTAAAGAGACCTTCTCAACCACCAGCTGACTTCCATCTGCCCTCTTAAAGGGCCACATACCCACAGACTGAGCACTCTAGCCCCCTTAATTAACACCTAGGGCAAAAGGAAGTAGTCTCTGCTTTGATCTTGGTGGGAACCAATCCACCTAGCCCAAGAGCAGAGTTTAGAACTACCCATCCCAGGGTACACAGCTTCTGCCACCAAGAACTCTGCCTCCCTGCCATTGTGTTCTCGTGGTGGTTTTTGGTGGTGGTGGTGAGGTATGTGTGCATATGTGTGTGTGGTGTGTTTGGGAGGGTAGTGGATTTCACAAAGCAAAGGATTCCTGTTTCACTTGCTACATACCTTTTTTTAAAGAGAAAGTTCATAAAATACAGGTTCTGACATGGACACCCAAGATTCTCCGCCCTTACCACTTAGCCACAGCGCCCTTACCCTGGCCACAGAAACGTCCACTTGCTCACTTGGCTATCATTAATTTTGCTATTTCTCATTTTCTTAAAGTATGTTTTCTTCTGCTTTCTACACAGTCAGATCTACCAGTGAGCCTCCGGCCTTGAAAACTGACAAGGTAAGAATTTTGAAATATTTTCTCTAGGCTCATCATGAACCTAAGTAGAACTTCAGAAGGGACCATGAAAACATCAGTAATCTTATAGACCAGGACCTTTAAGTATGTGATGTTTCTGTAGAAAATAACCATTTATGGTCTTTAACAATGCTGTTATGGCTCTGGTAGTTAAAGAAAACATGGTTCTCTTTAGTGATAGTTAAAAGTGGAGTTTTACCCAGATTTCCCCTTATCTTCTAAGAAAAATGTCTGAGCTGGAGGACGTTTGAAGTTGTCGCCTTAATAATGAGATCCCTGTGGTACCAAAAGTGATTAAGGGATTTCAGACATTAACATAATCTGTGCAAGACAGAGCCCTGGGGTGACTGGCTTGGGAAGGTTAGCCTTGACTTGATGGATTGGTTATAGGCGTTGTACAAGCTTTTCCCTTAGCAATGACCGGAACAGCCAGAGGTCAGCTGAGTGCTGGTGGGCTTCTTCTGAAAGACCCTTAATTAACTTTGGACACGAGTTAAAGCCGTTCAAAACCGTTAGCCTGAGACAGGTAATACTGTAGTTTGTCCCAGCCCAGAAGTGAAGTTTCCATTCAGCAGAGGCTCAGAATTTTCTTTCCATTGTAAAGTTCAACTTCATTATGAAAACTTTTCAGCAGATGTCAAAGCAGAGATAACTATTACAAAAAAATCCCCATGACCTCATCACCCGGTGTCAACGGTTGCAGATTCACAGCTGGCAGTGTTCTTTATACTTTCTTCTATGTCTCCCCTGCCTTTCTCCATTGGGTTGAATGGTGTGGCCACTAGCATTTGGTGGTTGGACTTGCAGTCATTTATTTACATATGTGTTGAATGGCTTTAGCAAAACGTTGGTTAAAACAGAAAGCCTCGGTGCCTGGCTTAATTGGTTCCCAGAACTCGTCATTCATTTGTTTCTTCACACAGCAAATGTATACTTAGCATTTCCCAAACCCTAGACCTTCCTTTGGATAAGAGGGTCAGTTGTTTGGGTGTTTTTTGTTTTTTGGTTTTTTGGATTTTCGAGACAGGGTTTCTCTGTGTAGTTTTGGTGCTTGTCCTGGATCTCGCTCTGTAAACCAGGCTGAACTCAAACTCACAGAGATCCTCCTGCCTCTGCCTCCCGAATGCTGGGACTAAAGGTGTGCACCACCACCCTCCAGATTGTTTTTTTTTTTTTTAACTTACAATAATGAGGTCCTCAGTTTGGACTTTTAAGATCATCAAATGAAGTCATCCATCAGAGACGCACTGACAGAAAGAAAAGACGACCTTCATCTACAACTTTAACAGTCAAATGTAAACATTTGACATATATCACAATTCTAGAAACCCGGCAGGGGGTCATTTCTGAACTTATTAATATAGTGGGATTGCAAAGACCACACACAAAACAAAGCTTCTCCCCACTCTCAGATCAATCCTGTTTTATCATGCATGTTCCTCCAGCAATCTATTCCAGACAAAGCTCTGTGAGAGCAGGTGTGGTTTCTAACCCGACAATTCTGCCTCCAGCATGTAGACAGCACGTCTGGCATTCGTTAGATATGTAATAAAAGTGTTGAATGAATGAACAAAAGAATGAATGCCAGATGCAGGAGCACGAAGATGCAAACCACACAGCATTGCCACAGCATTGCCAGTTGCATGGGGGAGTACTGTAGGACGAGGGGCCCCATGGGTGAGGTGTGAGCAGAATCACCAGCAGGTGGAGGAGGGGGCTGGCCCGGTGGCCCTGGGGAGAAAAGCCTTGAGAAGTGGTGAGATGCCCTCAGTCAGAAAGGGAGAGAAAGCTCAACCCAGCCGTAAAGAATCCGGTGACGGAATACTCACAGTAAAGAATGCCGTGACGGAATACTCACAGATGCCGAAGGATGCGGTGTGTTCTGAAAGCTATCAGAGATGTAGAGTGGCCAGAGTGGAGTTGGCTGAAGCGGTGGGACTTGAGTAGCAGGCCAGCTAAGTGCGGAGGGACTCTGTGATCTTCTGGGTGGGCAGGCAGAAAGAATATGCGATGAGAAATTAACTTGGAAAAGATGGTTCTACGGGCGGCAGGGAAACGGAAGGAAGGCTGCCGCGAAGACGTGGGTCGAAGAAGATCCGTGTGGGTCGGAAGACGTGGGATCCCGGGGAGCTGATGGGGCTGATGATGGAAGTGGGGAGGGGAGGAAGCCCCTAGGAGAACTTCAAAACCTCTCTCTGGGGAGATGAGCTGGGGAGTGGTCACCAGGCCCCAAACGCGAGAAGAGAGACTGGAATCCAGATCCCAAGAGTGGCTTCATCCGTGTGGGCATGCCTGTCGGCTGCTTACTGCTGGACAGAGCAGCATTGTTCTGGGTTGGGGTTGTCCGTCAGCACCCGCAGAGAGAGGAACACGGAGACACATGGCTACGCAGAAGCCACCCAGATCAGTTGAATCAGAAGCCCCGGGAAAGACCTGGATATCCGTGTTTTCTAAAAGCCTTGCAGATGCTTTTACGGTGCAGCCAGGTTGAGAGCTTATTTGAAGATAGCTGTGTGTGTGTGTGTGTGTGTGTGTGTGTGTGTGTGTGTGTGTGTGTGTGTAAGACCACATAGAACCTCTGCTGCGTCATAATCAAGTTCTTTAGGTTTAAGTACCTCATACCTTTTGGATGAGGACTGGGTCATCCCAAATATTCCTTCAAATATTAGTAATAGCTAGGAACGCTTTATACATCTTCTGATGCCCTTCGTATGTTGTGTGGGTTTCATGTTTAAAAGTAAGCTGAAAATTTTCAAATCGACCCAAGCAGAGTTGACCAATGGAGTCTGTTCATGTGTCCAGTGGGACAGTTCTTCATTGTGCTTTCAGTACTTGTAGCTCATTAAGGGCAGTGGCATCCTTTAGTCATTGTGGCCTCTGGAATGTTCTAGGGACACACTGAGAACTACTGTGCCTTTGCACACAACTTTAAAGGAGTTATTTGGCATTTGCCGCTCTCCCCTAAAAGAAATCTTCTTCCAGGCAAAATTATTGGTCTCAGTGGTCCCTTACCTAAACCGTCTCTGAGTTAATAAACTAAAGAAAGAAACTAAACAAGGTAGATACACAAAAGCTGGTGTTGTTTTGTACTCTCCTGGGGATTTCGAGTAGGTTTGGTTTAGTACTGACTGCTTTCAAAGTCTGAACAGAGAACATTTAGACACTAGGTAAGAAGTGGTCAAATATGGCTGGAAGCAAAGTCCTGCTAAGGAGGCATCAGGCAAATGGCACACCACTGATGAGAGATTGTTTTCTTTTGCTACCTTAACATGTTATGATAAGTTTAACATCTTAAAAGCATACATATACATTTTCCAGTGCTGTAGAATAGGGTCTGTAGGCTCTCACTCGGGCTAAAAGCCACATATTAGGAGGCTCAAGGCTCCTCATCTTTATAGCTTCCAGTTCCATATTCAAAGCCTGGGACATTGTGCATCTGTGTGACTTTGTGCTGTAGGCACGTTACCCTCAGACTGGGTACATCTAGATGAACGGGGATAATCTATCTCATCATAAGATCCTTAATTTAACTGTATCTTCAGAGTCCCTTTATTCAGGTCAGGTTACACATTCACAGGCTCCAGGGGATTGAGACATGGACATATTTGGAGGCTGTTATTCTGCCTACCATAGAGGAAAGAGAGGAATTGTTCAGAACGGTAGGACCGCTTCAGTTTGGGATCTTGTCAAACTTCATTTGACCAGATTGAGGGGTTTTAGTGCTCCTGAGTGAATGAAGCAAGTTCTTGTCTTAGCTCTACAGTTTCTATTCTGCGGGTCCAGGCACTGGGAGACTTTTGCTTTTCTTAGAGTATTTGGCAATGAAGCGAGCAGACAGGTTGAAGTCCAGTGCCTCCCTTTATCTTGGCTAGACTGCAGTACTGTGGGTGTGGCCTTTGGAGAGCTTGCTGCTTTTGGTGTTTCTCCAGCTCTGAGTGCTTGCTTGTCTACTGGTCATAGGTTCCAAGGACTTTGAATAGCACCAAAGAGTGTGAAGGTTTTATTGTAGGCTGCTATGTCTGCCTGCCACATCATACATTATTTATTAGACTCCGAAATGTGGAGATTGGGGAGGGAATGGTATAATATTCAGCATCTCTATGCAGCATGGCTATTGCAGCCAGTTTTCAGGTGTGTCTCAGTTGCCTTCAAATGGATTATTGGGTTATGTTTTTTAAATAATTTATTTAAATTTATTTTATGTGCATTTGTATGAAGGTGTCAGATCCCCTGGAACTGGAGTTACAGACAGTTGTGAGCTGCCATGTGGGTGCTGGAAATTGAACCCAGGTCCTCTGGAAGAGTAGCCAGTGCTCTTAACCGCTGAGCCATCCGTCCAGCCCCTATGGGGTTATTTTTTAAAGGGATATCTTGTAAGGATTGTGAGAGTTTGAAGATTCTGGGGAGATTTTAAGCTCTTCAGATGTTTTTGTAGCAGGTCTCCCTTCTATCAACTTTAGATACTCCAGCACCCCAAGTCTGAAGTCTAAACCTAGGGCTCTCAGTAGAGCACCAAAATGTCCTGATTTTCCCAAGAGTGGGGGACACCGTCTTTCTTTTTTTCCCCTCAAGATACAGGACTTTCAGAACTAGAACTTAGAGAGTCCTAAGCATATCACAATAGTGGGTCATTTTAAAGGGCTAAGAAAATGGCTCCATGGACATTGGTGTCATTCTGATGAATTTTTAGAACAGAGGCTTTAGTTTAACTGAATAATAAAAACAGCCTCTGGGGTTTGGATTGAAAGTGGTGGAGGATCTATCCTGTTTGGAAAACCTGCATCTATTACCCTCTGTATTTTCATGGGTTCTGCCTCAGCAGATTCAACCGACCATGGCTGGAAAAAATATTTTTAAAAAATTACTTCTGGTGGTGAGCAATGTATCTTAGTAGGTAGACTGCTTGCCTAACATGCACGAAGCCCTTGGGTTTGATCTTTAGCATCACATAAAGCAAATGTAGTAGCAGCACACCCTTCAGT